CTACCAAGAAAAAAATAAAACTTCCCCCACGGTGAGTGTATTTGTCTAATGTTTCTCCCACAAACGAAACCGTGCATCTGTTCTCTGAAGTCATTCTTAGGCAGGAGTGGGTGGGTAACTTTGCTTATACTCCGTCTCCTTGAACTTTTTTCCTGATTAGGTATTCTTGACTCCTCAATACTGAGCAACCGGTGGGTGTGTCAGCATCTCCCTCCCTCATCCCGTCTCTTTGGCCAGGCAGCGTCTGTGTGTGTCATCAACATACTACCGTATTAGTGATTCATTATAGAGGTCATTATATATATACATATACACACATATACCGGGTCTTGCTCTGTTGCCCAGGCTGGGATGCAGTAACATGATTAGAACTCCCTGCAGTCTCTAACTCCTGGGCTCAAGCAATCCTCCCATCTCAGCCTCCCGACAGCTGGCACCACAGGCATTGGCCACCGCGCCTGGCTAATTTTTTAATTTTTTATAGAAACGAGATCTTGCTCTGTTGCCCAGGCTGGTTTTGAACTCCCAGTCTCAAGCAATCCTCCCACCTTGACCTCCCAAAGCTTTGGAATTACAGGCGTGAGCCATTGCGCCCAGCCCACGGTGGTCATTTTGAATTCTGATGTGCTTTGTTTGTTCAACAAATAATTATTAACTACCAACTGTGTACCACTGTGATCCAATTATCATTCACCTTGGGATCTTAAGCTGCTAGAGAAATCACCTAAAAACTGCCTCCCCTTGAAGGGTCAAAACAAAATGTAGTGGGACAGGCACGGTGGCTCATGCCTGTGATCCCAGCACTTCGGAAGTCCGAGGTGGGTGGATCACAAGGTCAGGAGTTCGAGACAAGCCTGGCCAAGATGGTGAAACTCCATCTCTACTAAAAAATACAAAAATTAGCCAGGCGTAGTGGCAGGAGCCTGTAATCCCAGCTACTTGGGAGGCTGAGGCAAGAGAATCACTTGAACGAGGACAGCAGAGGTCGCAGTGAGCTGAGATTGAGGCACTGCACTCCAGCCTGGGCAACAAAGTGAGACTCCATCTCAAGAAAAAAAAAAAAAAGAAAATGAAAATGTAGTGATGGTTTTGCTGGAGAAAAATATTCAACACCAAAAGTTGTAGTCTCTTTAGGAAAAAAAAGTGAGTAGCCCCTCAGATGAGTCCTGAAAAAAAGTTTGAAGATGGTATCTGCCTACCATCTGCAAGATTTTGGTGTCAGTCGCTAAGAATTAACGTTATGAGTTACTAGCGTTCATAATATGCTTCTGTTACTCATATCTGACCAGGATGATGTAATGGAAGGTGAGTAAGGCAAGTGGTAGAGGGAAAAGAAAGAAATGTGAACTAAAAAGGAAATCAGAGGCCAGGCGTGCTGGCTCAAGCCTGTAATCCCAGCACTTCGGGAGGCTGATGTGGGCAGACTGCTTGAACTCAGGAGTTCAAGACCAGCCTGGCCAACATGGTGAAACCCCGTCCCTACTAAAAATATGAAAATTAGCCAGGTGTGGTGGCATGTGCCTGTGGTCCAAGCTACTCAGGAGGCTGAGGCAGGAGAATCACCTGAACCCAGGAAGCAGAGATTGCAGTGAGCCGAGATCACACCACTGCACTCCAGCCTGGAGACACAGCGAGATGCCATCTCAAAAAATAAAATAGCATACAACAAAATAAATAAAATGGAAATCAGAAGTGAAAGAAGCTGGACACACAAATGAATATTGTATGATTCACTTATATGAAATATGAAGAGCAGAAAAAAGTCTATAGAGACAGAGAGTAGATTAGTGGTCGCTTTGGGGGCAGCAGAAGACGGAACTGTGGCGTGACTGCGAATGGGGACAGGGTTTCCCTTTAGGGCGATGAAAACTTTCAGGAACTGGATAGAGGTGGTGGTACAACATTGAGAACAAAGTAAATTGCCATTGAATTGTTTGCTTTAGAATGGTTAAAATGAAGGGCACTTTAGGAGGCAGAGGTGGGTGGACGGAGTGAGCCCAGGAGTTCGAGACCAGCCTGGGAAACATGGCGAAACCCTATCTCTTAAAAAAAAAAAAAAAAAAAAAACTTAGCTGGGCATGGTGGCACAGGTATTCGGGAGGCTGATGTGGGAGGATCACCTGAGCCCTGGAGGTTGAGGCTGCAGTGAGCCAAGATCAGGCCACTGCACTCCAGCCTGGGCATTGAGTAAGACCCTGTCTCAATCAATCGGTCAATCAATCAAATGGTTAGAATGGTAAACTTTACGTGTATTTTACCATAATTTAAAAACAAACTGACCAGGCGCAGTGGCTCATACCTGTAACCCCAGCACTTTGGGAGGCGGAGGTGGGTGGATCACCTGAGGTCAGGAGTTTCAGATCCTCCTGGCCAAAATGCTGAAACCCTGTCTCTACTAAAAATACAAAAATTAGCCGGGCATGGTGGCAGGTGCCTGTAATCACAACTACTTGGAAAGCTGAAGCAGGAGAATCGTTTGAACTCAGGAAGCAGAGGTTGCAGTGAGCTGAGATTGTGACACTGCACTCCAGCCTGGGCAAGAGAGTAAGAATCCATCTCAAAAATAAATAAATAAGAAAAAGAAATCAAACACAAGCTCTGGAGAGTAATGTGAAAGTATTTAGCGGGCACGTACTAGGTGCCTGGCACTGGGTATCACCTGGCTGGGCCTCCCAGCAATGCTAAGACATAGGCGCCGTCCTGATCCTTGCTGTCAGCCAGGAGCACCGAGGCACAGAGGGGCTGACTGGCTCCCCTGGGTCACACGCCAATGCGTGTGCGGCCTCTGGGGCTTCTCAGATGCTGACCTGCTCATGACTCACCCAGCCTCAAGTTCAAATGCAGACTCTAACTCAGCAGGGCTGAGTGGAGCCTGAGACTGGCTAAGACCTACACTTTGCGGGGAGGATCTCTTCCCTGGGGGTTAAGTCTTCCCTCCCCCACTGGACAAATTTGGCCTTGCCCAAGGGGGCCAGAAAACGCTTACCCAGAGCTCTCATCTGTCTGTCACTGTGGAAACAGCTAGCGTTGAAAGATCCTGGAATAGAAGCTCCTTTATTTGCCCTGGGCCAAGGGGGCCCTCTGGTTCTATACAGTAACATTTTAAATAATAATGATCATAAATGAAACCCTCTGCCAGAGCTTTTGATGTCCACGAGTTTTATAGGTCATTTGCCCAGTAATTTCGTTCAATGTCAAATCCACCCTCCCCCTCTTGAACTCACTGATGATCTTCCATTTTCTTCTGGGGGAGGCTGGATTGAACTGAACCCATCTTACGTGGAGGGAAAGTGTTATTTGCACTGAGTGACATCTTGAGATGTCTCCTGTGATCTCTATGTCTTGAAGGAAAACAGGGTATCCACACAAGGATAAGCTCAGCCCTCTTAGACTTCTACAGTTAGAGGACCTTCCTGCAGCCTGGGATTGGGGTGTTGAGGAGGGACTAGGTCGGTGTCACCTGTAGGCGCCTGCAAGCGGCCTGAGATTTTTTCAGAGAAAGAGCAGGTGTGGGATGTATCAGGGCCGCCCTGAAGCCATTGTCTCCGAACAGAACAGGACCCATGAGTTGGGGATACCTAGAGAAGATTCCTCCATAGGCGGGGCGCAGTGGCCCACGCCTGTAATCCCAGCACTTTGGGAGGCCAAGGCAGGTGGAACACGAGGTCAGGAGTTCAAGACCAGCCTGGCCAAGATGGTGAAACCCCATCTCTACTAAAGCTACAAAAATTAGCCAGGCATGGTGGCGGGCGCCTGTAATCCCAGCTACTGGGGAGGCTGAGGCACAGAATTGCTTGAACCCAGGAGGCGGAGGTTGCAGTGAACCAAGATCGCGCCACTGCACTCCAGCCTGGGCGACAGAGCAAGACTCCTTCTCAAAAAAAAAAAAAAAAGAAGATTCCTCCATAGCACTTTGCCTGGGGTTTGAGGAGAAGGAGGAGAGATGGAAGCTTCCCTCTTATTAGTTCTGCCTCTGGGAAGGTGCTCTGACCTCCTGTTGACTTTCTAAATTGGCTCCTTCTCCCGGGTCAGTCTCTCAAGAGCCTCTAAGAGGCTGGAGCAGACAACGTGATCCCCATGCCCCACAGGTCCCGGCAGCATCTGTTGTACGAAGCTGTTAGCTTCAAAGGAAGGAGAGGGGAGAAGAGGAATTCTCCTGCCAGTTTTTCTCACTTCTTGAGAAACAAAAGCCACCCAGAGAGACAACTTGGTCCAAAATTTGAGAGAAAGGGGGAGGGGCGAGGGGGATGGCTCAGAGGGGGTGTCCAACTCTTTCTCTGCTCTTCCTTCCAGTGGGGCAAGGATATCAAATACTAAAAGGAAGACGTGGTTTCCTAAGACAACATAATTATCCTCAACAGCCTCAACTCCATCTGCCATTTATCTCTTTTTCCCAACACCTTCACGCCGCGCTGATCACAGCAAACAAGGCCCAGCCACGCGGGCGTCAGGAACTTTGTTCGGGACCCCCAAAGCCACAGGCAACCATGGGGGGTGGGGCAGTGAGGGGGTATTGCCTGATTCTCAAAGTTGTTACTTGTTCAAAGCAGCACGAGACTTAAAATGTGGACCTGAATGGGGCGGGGTGGGGGGGGGGATGTAAAAAAGTGGAATCTGACTTAGGACAGAGATGCTCATTCTTGGGAAAATGTCACATGCTCTGGGCAGATGGCAAAGACGTTGGTTGCCGGGAGGGGGCTTGCCAAGGGCAATTGAATGAAAATGGATTTTTAAGAAAGAAACAGGAATACGCTGGAAATGAAGAGTCTGCCCCCCCACCCCCTTCCTCCCAGCAAGAGAAACTGTTTTTAAGACAGAAGCACGTGAAATCTGGAAATAAACTGCACACCCATGAGGAAAAACTCTTCATAGAGGGAGCCGGGGAAGATCTTTGTATTTCTACCTTTGCAGATGGAGGTAATTTGCAGCAGGGAGAAAAAGATTAAACTCCCTGCAGGACTCTGCCTGCAGCGTCCCCACCCCTCCGACGTCCCACTCACCTGTATGGCACCAGCGCTGCGACTCGGGGGACATGGCTAGTGGTCAACACTCCAAGTCCTCCAGGGGTCCCGAGGGTCCCACCTCATCAGCACCCAGGGGTCCAAGCCCTCTAAAATCCATGCCTCCATGGCCCACCCAATGGAAAGAAGAAGGGTGGCCCACAGAGAGGAGGGAGAAACGTGGGTGCCAAGAAGAGCAGTTTTCTGAGCGGAGGTCTCCCCACAAAAGCAGACAGTGAACGGGGATGCTGTACCAGCTGCCAAGGAGGAAAAAAAAAAAAAAGAGAGAGAGGAGGAGGAGGTTTCCCTGATGCTGGGAGGAGGGAAAGGAGGATCGATCGTTAGCTCCTGACCATCTTCAGCAAACTGCCACACGGGGACCCAGCCTGAGGAGATCAATCCAGGCAGAAGCTGAGAGCAGGCCAGCCCACTGCTCCTCAGGGGGAAAAGTAATTTACGATTCATGCTGTCTTCTCTACGCCCCTTCACGCTGCACCGTGACCTCCCAGCACAGAGCAGAGCTGTCGTCTCAGAAAGAAGACTTTTTCCCCCCACCATTTGGGCTTCCCTTAAAGAGCAGAGGAACGGTGGTAAGAAGAGAATTCTCTCTCTTCCACTGGTTCCTGTCGGGGGTCCGGGGAGGGGGCGTGTAGAACAGGCATCAGGCAGCAGGGATATGGAATCATGTTATAATTTAACCATCTCCACCCCGCCCCATTGCAACCTAAATTATTTATGCTCTTAGAAAACTGATAATTAGAGGACAGCTGCGAACCTCCTCTCTGAGTCTGTTGTGTTCATTCTGGAAACAACTTCCCCATACCCTGATCTCCTCCCTCAGGCAGAGGGGTTGTATTGTCAGAAAAGAAAGGCGGAGAAAGGGAAAGTTGAGTCCTTTCATGCCAAACAGCCATGGATTGCGAGTTGGTGAGTTTGTCTGCAATCTTTTCAAAGGGGCCCCCTGTTAAGGATGGGGGTTGTGTTTTTCCTATATGAAGCCTCAAGGGCACAGAGAGTCTCAAATTTTTCCCCAAGGCTGAGCCACGATGGGGGGATCTACCTCATTAAGAAAAACGCAGCATTTAGACAGGTGGGGAAAATCAGACTTGGCTGGGTGCTAGGGGATTTTAAGGAATTCACGTGAGTTTTGTAAGAACTGTTGGTGGTATTTGGTTATATTGTTCTTTAAAAGTGTTTATCTGTAAGCCTGGCACGGTGGCTCAGGCCTGTAATCCCACCACTTTGGGAGGCTGAGGTGGGTGGATCACAAGGTCAGGAGTTCAAGAACAACCTGGCCAACATGATGAAACCCCATCTTTACTAAAAATACAAAAATTAGCCCGGCGTGATGGCGGCACCTGTAATCCCAGCTACTTGGGAGGCTGAGACAGAATTGCTTCAACCCAGGAAGTGGAGGTTGCAATGAGCCGAGATAGTGCCACCGTACTTGAGCCTGGGCAAAAGAGCAAGACTCCGTCTCAAACAGCAAAAAAAGTATCTGTTACAGGGCCGGGCGCGGTGGCTCAAGCCTGTAATCCCAGCACTTTGGGAGGCCGAGGCGGGTGGATCACGAGGTCAAGAAATCGAGACCATCCTGGTCAACATGGTGAAACCCCGTCTCTACTAAAAGTACAAAAAATTAGCTGGGCATGGTGGCGCGTGCCTGTAATCCCAGCTACTCAGGAGGCTGAGGCAGGAGAATTGCCTGAACCCAGGAGGCGGAGGTTGCGGTGAGCCGAGATTGCGCCATTGCACTCCAGCCTGGGTAACAAGAGCAAAACTCCGTCTCAAAAAAAAAAAAAAAAAAAAGTATCTGTTACAGATGCATATGGAAGTATTTATGGATCAGGTGATATGATATCTGGATTTGCTTTTTTGGAAACTCCAGGAAACAGCATGGGATAAATAAAATGTGGTATAGCTATGCAATGGAATATTATTCAGCCATGATGAGGAATGAAGCACTGATCCATGCTGCAAAGTGGATGAACCTCAAAAACATGTTGAATGAAAGAAGCCAGACACGAAAGACCACATGGTTGTGTGATTCCATTTATACAAAATGTCCAGAATAGGCAGATACATAGAGATGGAAAACAGGTTAGTGATTATCAGGGACGGGGGAGAGGGACTGCTGACAGGGATGGGGTTTCCTTTCTCAGTCATGAAAATGTTCTGGAACTTGCCAGGCACGGTGGCTCATGTTTGTAATTCAAGCACTTTGGGAGGCCAAGGAGGGTGAATCACAAGGTCAGGAGTTCGAGACCAGCCTGATCAACATGGTGGTGAAACCCTGTCTCTACCAAAAAATACAAAATTAGCCAGGTATGGTGGTGGCACATGCCTGTAATCCCAGCTACAGGAGGCTGAGGCAGGAGAATCGCTTGAACCAAGGAAGTGAAGGTTATGGTGAGCTGAGATTGCACCACTGCACTCCAGCCTGGGCAACAAGAGTGAAACTCCATCTCAAAAAAAAAAAAAAAAAAAATTTCTGGAACTAGATAGAGGTGATGGTTGCACAACATTGTGAACGTATTATGAAATAGCATTTTATTTTATTTTATTTGAGACAGAGTCTTGCTCTGTCATCGCCCAGGCTGGAGTGCAGTGGGGCAATCTTGGCTCAGTGCAACCTCTGCCTCCTGGGTTCAAGCGATTCTCCTGCCTCAGCCTCCCGAGTAGCTGGGATTACAGGAGCCCACCACCATGCCTGGCTAATTTTTGTATTTTTATTAGAGACTAGATTTCACCCATGTTGGCCAGGCTGGTCTCGAACTCCTGACCTCAAGTCATCCGTCCACCTTGGCCTCCTATAGTGCTGGGATTACAGGCATGAGCCACCGCACCTGGCTGAAATTGCATTTTAAAATGGTTAAGTTTATGTTATGTGAATTTCACCTGTATTTAAAAAAAAAAAAAAATCACCAAAAAAGAAGAGAAAAGATACACCTGAACAGGAGAAAATTGCTAATTGGCCAGGTGCGAGCGTGGCTCATGGCTGTAATCCCAGCCTTTGGGAGGCTGAGGCAAAAGAATGGCTTGAGCCCAAGACTTAGAGACCAGCCTTGGCAACATGGCAAAACCCTGTCTCTGCAAAAAATGCAAAAATTAGCTGGGTGTAGTGACGCACGCCTCAGGTCCCAGCTACTTGAGAGGTTGAGGTGGGAGAATCACCTGAGCCTGGGAAGTTGAGGCTGCAGTGAGCTATGATCATGTCACTGCACTCCAGCCTGGGCAACAGAGCAAGACCTTGTCTCACAAGAGGACGGGGAGGGGAGGGGAGGAGAGGGGAGGGAAGGAGAGGGGTGAGAAGGAGGGGGGGAGGAGAGGAGGAGAGGAGGCAAGGAGAGGAGGAGGAAGGAGAGGGGAGGGGAGGAGAGGAGGGGGAAGGGGAGAGGAGGAGGGGAGGGGAGGGGAGGAGGAGGGAGGAAAGGGGGAGGGGAGAGGAGGAGGGGAGGGAAGGGGAGGAGAGGAGGGGGAAGGGAAGAGAGAAGGGGGAGGGAAGGAAAGAAGGGGGAGGGGAAGGGAGGAGGGGAGGGAAGAAGGGGAGGGGAGGGAAGGAGAAGGGGAGGGGAGGGAAGGAGGAGGGGAGACTGAGCTTGCACACTCAGCTCCTCACCATGGCATCCCCAGCACTGACTTGGGACTCTGCAGAATCCCCACTAGCATCGAGGCCCGCCCCAGATTTGGCCTCTTGACCTTGAACTCCTCAGCCTCCATAACTGGAAGAAATTAATTCCTTTTCTTTATAAATTACCTAGTTTCAGGAATACTTTTTTTTTTTTTTTTTGAGACAGAGTCTTGCTCTGTCGCCCGGGCTGGAGCTCAGTGGCGCAATCATAGCTCCCTGCAGCCTCGACCTCTCTGGCTCAAGTGATCCTCCCACTTCAGCTCCCCAAGTAGGTGGGATTACAGGCGTGCACCACCCCACCCAGCTAATTTTTTTAACGTTTTCTAGCGATAGGGTTTCTCCATGTTGCCCAGGCTGGTCTCAAACTCCTAGGCTCAAGCAATCCTCCAGCCTTGGCCTCCCAAAGTGCTGGGATTACAGGCGTCAACCACCATGCCCAGCCCAGACTCAGGTATTCTGTTGTAAGCAACAGAAAAAAGACTAACACAAAAACCATCTCTGAAAGACACATGAAAACCAGTCATAGGGGTTCTCTGCGGAGGTGGAGGGGAGTTTTCTCTACTTACCTTTTTATATTCAGGGAATTTTAAACCATGTGAGTACAATATGGATTATATGAGCTAATGCATATGTTAAATAGCTTGATTTAGCCATTCTACAATGTATCTATATCAAAATATCCATAAATATATATACAATTTTTACTTGATTTTAAAATGTATTCCATTAAAACATGAGATCATGCATGCCAAGCGACAACATTCTTTTTTTTTTTTTTTTTTTGTAAAATGTCAGATAATAAATATCCTAGGCTTGGCCAGGTGCTTTGGTTCACGCCTGTAATCCCAACATTTTGGGAGGCTGAGGTGGGAGGATTACCTGAGGTCAAGAGTTCGAGACCAACCTGACCAACATGGTGAAACCCTGTCTCTACTAAAAATACAAAAATTAGTTAGGCATGGTGGTGTGTGCCTGTAATCTCAGCTATTCAGGAGGCTGAGGCAGGAGAATTGCTTAAACCCAGGAGGCAGAGGTTGTAGTGAGCTGAGATCGCACCCTTGCACTCCAGGCTGGGTGACAAGAGCGAGGCTTCGTCTCAAATAAATAGATAAATAAATAAATATCGTAGGCTTTCAGGTCACATGGACTCCATGGCAACAAGTTAACTGCCCTTGTAGCAGCAACCCTGACCATATGTAAATGAATGAGTGTGGCTTTCTGCCAGTAAAACTTTATCTATAAAAACCGGTTACAGGCTGGATTTGGTGCCTGGCCCATAGCTTGCTGACCTCTAGTATATGCAAAGCACTTAGCATCTGTTACCTGTAAAGTGTTTTTGTGAATTCCAGGCCCTGACGTTTGCAAGCTGTGTTATCTTGGGCAGGTCCCTTAAGCCACCATTGCCACCTGTTCAAAACTAGGGTAACAATAGGAAGAAGACTGTTTCTAGTCAAACATAAGACATGGTTATTAAAGTGCCTTGTGAACTCAAAAATGCTATGTCATGTCAGCTGCTATGGTGATGCAGAGAGTCATAAGTCTAGGCAATTGGCGTTGAATTTTCCTGTTTTTAAATCACATGACTTGTATGAGTCACTTTGTGATGATCAACGTAAATAGTCATCCTGGTTTCCTTAGAAGTCCTTTGAAAATGTCAGAAAGTCCTGCTTTTCCTCTTGCGCAAATGAGACCATCCTGAGTCAAGCATCTTTTCAACTCTTGTGTTTACTGCCAGAGTTGGTGACCATGAATAGATTGAACAATTGGCCCCAGTGAGTCACTGTTTCCTGTGTGCCTGTCTTGGCGATGGTCTCGTTGTGGGTGGTGGGTACTTCACTGCTGGGCCTTGGATGTGGCCACGTGGCTTGCTTCAGTCAATGGAATGTGGGCAGAAATGGCAAGGGGTGAGTTCCAACCCAGGATTCAGAATCCACATGTGGCTCTGCCTGCCCTCTTGTACCTCTGCTCTCGCCACGGAAGCAACCATCCCAGGAGGAAGAGGAAGGACACATAAAGCAGAGTCAGCCAGCCAAGCCCCAGCCAGATCAGCCAAACCAAGATGGTGCACAGGTGCATGGGAATAAATGACTATTGCTTTAAGCCACTGAGTTTTGGGTCATGTATAACGTAGCTGTGATGATTAATTTGAGGTCGACTTGACTGGGCTAAGAAATGCCCAGATAGCTAGTTACACGTTATTTCTGGGTGTGTCTGTGTTTTCAGAAGAGATTTGCAATGGAACCTGTAGATTGCGGAAAGAAGAGTCAGCCTCCTCAATGCAGTGGGCATCTTCCAATCCATTGAGGGCTAGAATAGAACGAAAAAGCAGAAGAAGAGGCCGGGCACAGTGGCTCATGCCTGTAATCCCAGGACTTTGGGAAGCCAAGTGGGCAGATCACCTGAGGTCAGGAGTTCAAGACCAGCCTGACCAACATGGGGAAACCCTGTCTCTATTAAAAATACAAAAATTTTTTTTAAAAATACAAAAATTAGCCGGGTGTGGTGGTGCGTGCCTGTAATCCCAGCTATTCGGGAGGCTGAGGCAGGAGAATCACTTGAACCCAGGAGGTGGAGGTTGCAGTGAGCCAAGATCGTGCCACTGCACTCCAGCCTGGGCGAGAGTGAGACTTTGTCTCAAAAAATACATGAAATAAAATAAAACAAATTCCCTCAACCTCACCCTTCTCCCACTTTTTTTTTCTCTGCTCTGTCACCCAGGCTGGAGTGCAGCAATGGGACCATAGCTCCCTGCAGCCTTGACCTCCCGGGCTCAAGCAATCCCCCTGCCCCAGCCCCCCAAGTAAGTGGGACTACAAGTATGTGTCGCCGCGCTCAGCTAATGCTTTTCTTGCTTTTCTTTTTTTTCCTTCTTCTTTCTATTCTTTCTTTCTTTCCTTCTTCCTTCCTTCCTTTTTCTTTGTTCTTTTGAGATGGAGTCTCACTCTGTCGCCCAGGCTGGAGTGCAGTGGCGTGACCTGGGCTCACCGCAACCTCCGTCTCCCAAGTTCAGGCAGTTCCCCTGCCTTAGCCTCCAGAGCAGCTGGGATTACAGGCGCCCACCACCATACCCAGCTAATTTTTGTATTTTTAGTAGAGATGAGGTTTCTCCATGTTGGCCAGGCTCATCTGAAACTTCTGACCTCAGGTGATCTGCCCACCTCAGCTTCCGAAAGTGCTGGGATTACAGGCATGAGCCACTGTCCCTGGCCCTTTCTCTCTCTCTTTTTCTTTTTTCCTTTCTTTCTCTCTTTCTTTTTTCTTTCTTCTTTCTTTGTAGAGATGGGGTCTTCCTATGCTTCCCAGGCTAGTCACATACTCCCAGCCTCAACCAATGCTCCCGCCTCAGCCTCCCAAAGTGCTGGGATTACAGGCGGGAGACATCGCACCCCGCCCCTTCTCCCACTTTTCTTCTGTGAGCACCTCCCATTGGCTGAGCCAACCAAAAGCCAATGGGCAACAGAACCCAATGATGTTGTCTTTTGGGATCAGCCTTGGGAACAAAGGAGGGTAGAAGGTGGCAAAGACTAGAGCTGGAGGGAACAATGGACTTTACTCATTTTCCTTTAACCAATTCTTAGCTGAGAAAGCATCTTCAGCACTTCCTGCATCCCTGCAATTCATGTCACCGTTCTCAGCAGCCCGCTTGGCTGATCTGATTCTTCTTTTTTTTCTTCTCTGGATACCAAAGGAAACAGATACAAAAAGGAAAACTGATTCTCCAGGGAAGCCCCCAGTCCGCCTCAAGGACGATGCTTTTTTTATGCACTTATGTTCCTAGTGATATCTGGTTTTGAGCCAGCTCAATTGTGAGTGGAGTGCTGTTACGATACTGTTTATGTTCTGATCGTGTTTCTCTTGGCCGGAAGAGCAGGCAGCTGGCCACACGTATAATGCCCTCCACTGGGGCAGAGGTCTCCCTTTGAGCCCAGCAGCTGACGCCCCGCACCCAGAGCGCTACTGGGAAATCTGGCACCGTTCCCCATCGGCACCGTGAATGCCTTTGCCGTTGGCCCAGGCGAGAAAATCGCTGCTTGCCTATCCTGGGCAAAGTCCAGTTATCCATTAACAGTGAGGGAAGGACAATTAGATCAGGAAACCAAGAAATAATATGTGAGATAAAGTGTGTGCTCTCCTCGCCTGCGTGAATCAATCGTCTAAACTGCAAGAAGACACACAGGCTCTGAAATAGAATCCTGTGCTCAGAACCCAATTTTATCACTTCCTAGCTCCACGGTTTCTCTTCCTTTCCTTCCTTCCTTCCTCTTTTCCTCTATTCTTTCCTGCCTTCCTTCTTTCCTTCCACTCTCTTTTCCTTCCTTCCTCTCTTTCCTTCCTTCCACTCTGTCTTTTTCTTCCTTCCTCTGTCTCTCTTTTCCTTCCTTCCTTCCTTTCTCTGTCTCTCTCTCTCTTCCTTCCTGTGTGTGTCCACTGCCTATGTTCAAAATTCTCCTCCTTCCACGAGGAGAGCAGTCATACTGGATTAGGGACTGCTACGATTTGAATCTATGTTTGCACCCAAATTGAAATGTTGGCCCCTAAGACCCAGTGTGATAGTGTTAAGAAGTGGGGCCTTTAGGAGGTCATTCAATCAGGAGGACTCTGCCCCTTTGAATGGGATTCGGGCCTTCTAAAAGGGCTTGAGGGAACTAGCTAGGGCCCTTGACCATCCGTTCTTTATTTTAAAAATAATAATAATAATACAAAAAAGAGCCAGGTGTGATGATGCATGCCTGTAGTCCCAGCTACTCAGGAGGCTGAGGCAGGAGAATTGCTTCAACCTGGGAGGCGGAGGTTGCAGTGAGCCGAGATTGTACCGTTGCACTCCAGCCTGGGTGACAGAGTGAAACTCTGTCTCAAAAAACAAACAAACAAAAAGCTTTTGTGGGGATCCTGGGTAAATACCAAAGAGCAGAATTGTTGAGTCACCTGGTGATTGTCTGTTTAACCCCTAAGAAGCAGGCCGGGCATGATGGCTCACACCTGTAATCCCAGCACTTTGGGAGGCTGAGGCAGGCAGATCATGAGGTCAAGAAATCAAGACCATCCTGGCCAATATGGTGAAACCCCATCTCTACCAACAATACAAAAATTAGCTGGGCGTGGTGGTGGGCACTGTAGTCCCAGCTACTCTGGAGGCTGAGGCAGGAGAACCGATTGAACCCAGGAGGCAGAGGGTGCAATGAGCCGAGATGGCGCCGCTGCACTCCAGCCTGGCAACTGAGCGAGACTCCAGCTCAAACAATAAAAAAAGCTGCCAGACTGTCATCCACCAACAGTGTGTGCGTCACTGTACATCCTGGCCAGCGCTCAGATCGCCGTCTTTTTGCTTCTAACCATTCTAGTGGATGTGTGTTGACATCTGCCTGGGGTTGTAATTTGCATTTCCCTAATGTCTAATGATGTCCTATGCATACACATGCATGAGTAAGCTTTAAGGAGATGAAGGGAACGCCCGGGGTCACAGATGAAGAGACCGCTGAGAGTCAGGAAGTGGGCATGCAAGATGGCACTGTAGACGTTTTTAGGGTGTGGGAGTGAGGGGGTGGATGGGGGGGCATACTGGGCATACCTCAAGGTGGGAGATGAGGCCTCAGGTCTTTGCAAGATGATGAGTAGGAATTGATATTCTCTGTATAAACTAGGGATCCTGGACCGGGGGCAGTGCCTCACACCTGGAATCCCAGCACTCTGCGAGGCTGAGGCAGAGTGGATCATGAGGTCAAGAGATCAAGACCGTCCTGGCCAACAAGCTGAAACCCTCTCTACTAAAAATACAAAAATTAGCCGGGCGTGGTAGTGGGCACCTGTAGTCCCAGCTACTCCGGAGGCTGAAACAGGAGAATCACTTGATCCCAGCAGGCGGAGGTTGCAGTGAGCCAAGATCATGCCGCTGCACTCCAGCCTGGATGACAGAGCCAGACTGTCTCAAAAAAATAAATAAATGTAATAAAAAGCCATTCCTCTCCCCTTCTTTCACCCACCATCCTTAAATTTCATCACCTCATAGTCTCAAAGGTGGCAGCTACAGCTAGATAGGAGGAGTAAGTTCTCGTGTCCCATACCGCTGTAGGGTGACTATAGCCAACAATAATATATAGTTCCCAATACCTAGAAGGAGGATGGTGAACGTTCCCAGCATAAAGAGGTGGAAGTCGCAGTGAGCTGAGATCGTGCCATTGCACTCCAGCTCTGGTGACAGAGCGAGACTCCATGTCAAGAAAAGAAAGTAGAGACCCTGGTGGGACCACACCTAGGGACAGGGTACCAGGAAGACTCCACTAGGCCAAGGTGAGCACAGGGGAGCTCGTCTCTTTTCTGGACATTGAAAACATACACATACAGGTCATATCCAGTGTGCTCTGGGACATGGGAAACAGACATTAATTTACTGCTGGACCGGGTACAGTGGCTCATGCCTGTAATCCCAACACTTTGGGAGGCCAAGGAGGGCAGATTGCTTGAGCCCAGCAGTTCAAGACCAGCCTGGGCGAGATGGCAAAACCCCATTTTGGCCAGGCGTGACTGCTCACGCCTGTCATCTCAGCACTTTGGGAGGTCGAGACAGGTGGATCACTTGCAGTCAGGAGTCAGAGAACAGCCTCAACAACATGGTGAAATCCCACATCCTCTAAAAATACAAAAATTAGCCGGGAGACCGAGGCAGGAGAATAGCTTGAACCTGAGAGGCAGAGGTTGCAGTGAGCTGAGATTGTGCCATTGCTCTCCAGCCTGAGTGACAGAGCGAGACTATCTCAAAATTTTTTTAAAAACCCAAAAACTTCAAAAATTAGCCAGGTGTGGTGGCGCATGCCTGTAGTCATAGCTACTTAGGAGGCTGAGATAGGTGGGAGGATCATTTGAGCCTCGAAGGTTGAGGCTGCAGTGAGCTGTTATTGCACCGCTGCACTCCAGCCTGGGTGACAGGGCAAGACCGTGCCTCAAAAAAAACCCAAGAATGGCCAGGTGCGGTGGCTCATGCCTGTAATCCCAGCACTTTGGGAGGCCGAGGAAGGCTGATGACAAGGTCAAGAGATGGAGACCATCCTGGCCAACATGGTGAAACTCCGCCTCTAATAAAAAATACACATATTAGCTGGGTGCGGTAGCTTGTGCCTGTAATCCCAGCTACTCAGGAGGCTGAGGCAGGAGAATCACTTGAACCCGGGAGGCGGAGGTTGCAGTGAGCCAAGATCACACCACTGCACTCCAGCCTGGCACCTGGTGACACAGCAAGACTCTGTCACACACACAAAAAAAAAACCCCGAGAATTTACTCTGCTGTGGGTATACACATTGTTTAAAAATTGCAGGAAGCCAAAATTATATGAATCTTTTAATATTGTCAGTTTAATATTAAATAGTAGTACATTAATATATGTGATTATTAATCGGTAATGTAGTACTAATATTAAATCTAATATGTGCTTGTTAAATAATATTTAATATTACTAATTTTCATATTCTTTTTATCTTTTTTTTTTTTTTTTTTGAAAAAAAGTTTCACTCTTGTTCCCAGGCTGGGGTGGAATGGCGCGATCTCGGCTCACCGCAACCTCCGCCTCCTGGGTTCAGGCAATTCTCCTGCCTCAGCCTCCTGAGTAGCTGGGATTACAGGCATGCGCCACCATGCCCAGCTAATTTTTGTATTTTTAGTAGAGACGGGGTTTCATCATGTTGACCAGGATGGTCTCGATCTCTTGACCTTGTGATCCACCCTCCTCAGCCTCCCAAAGTGCTGGGATTACAGGCTTGAGCCACCGCGCCCGGCCTATTTTATCTTTTGTAGAGACAAGGTCTCCCTATGCAGCCCAGGCTAGTTCTGAGCTCTTGGTCTCAAGCAATCCTCCTGCCTTGGCCTCCCAATGTTCTGGGATTAAATATTCATATTATTAATTTTATTTATTAAAAGTAATGAAAAATAAAATGAATAAAACTATTAGTTTTATTATTTCACATTAGCAATAAAATAACTCATTTTATTTTACATTTAATTTTATTTAAAATAAAATTAGTTTACTTTTTTTTGTTGTTTAATTAGAGACAAGGTCTCACTTTGTGGCCTAGGCTGGTCTTGAACTCCTGAGCTCAGGTGATCCACCTCGGCCTCCCAAAGTGCTAGGATTACAGGTGTGAGCCACAATGCACTGCCTAAGATTATTTTAAAATCAACATGCATGCTTATACTTACTTGGATTTTTTTGGAAGTATGTAGCAGGAACTATCTAAAGGCAATCTATGCAAAATGATGCTGAGGCTGATCAGTACGAAAGGCTGGGCCATACCTCCGATACTACAAGGTCAAGCATCAGGACCATCCTGGCCAACAAGGTGAAACAGGTGCCTGCCACCATGCCCGGGTAATTTTTGTATTTTTAGTAGAGACGGGGTTTCACCATGTTGGCCAGGATGGTCTCAATCTTGACCTCGTGATCCACCCGCCTCGGCCTCTCATCATAAAACCATTTGAATGCAGTAGCTGCTTCGTGTCTATGTATCGCTCTTCAATCCTCTCACTCTGCATTCGTCCTTTCATTCATCCTCAAATATTCATTGAGCTCCTACCACGTGATGGCAGAATGCTTAGCACTGTGGTTAACCATGTGAGAGGCAGACCTGGGTTCAAGTCTTGGTTCTGCTTCTTTCTGACTTTGTGCTCTTGTATAAGGTCTTTATTTATTATTACTATTATTATTAATTTTAGATACAAGGTCTTGCTCTGCTGCTGGAGTGCAGTGGCATGATCACAGCTCACTGCAGCCACGAACTCCTGGGTTCAACTATTCCCCCAATGTCAGCCACGCACACAGCTATGAAAACAGGCATGCACCACTATGCCTGAGTCATGTTTAAAATTTTCTGGCCAGGCACAGTGGCTCACGCCCGTAATCCCAGCAGTTTGGGAGGCTGAAACAGGTAGATCACCTAAGGTCAGGAGTTCAAGACCAACCTGGCCAACATAGCGAAACCCTGTCTCTACTAAAAATACAAAAAATTAGACAAGCATGGTGGCAGGGTGCCTGTAATCCCAACTATCCGGGAGACTGAGGCAGGAGAATCGCTTGAACCCAGGAGTCAGAAGTTGCAGTGAGCTGAGATCGCGCCACTGCATTCCAGCCTGGGTGACAGAATGATACTCTATCTCAAAAAGAAAAAAAAATCCAGCTGTTGCTGAGGCTGGAGTTTGGTGGCATGGTCAGAGCTTACACGCAGCTGGCCTCAAGTGATCCTCCCACCTCAGCCTCCCGAG